AATGGAGAAATTTAGTAACAAACTCATGAGTTTAGTTACAAATCATTATATTTGATAATAGATTTAAAAAGTTAATTATAAATTTAAAAATTTGTTAATAAATTTAAAAATATTTTCATATATTTGCAAGTCTACTTAAAAATCTAGGAATCTAATAACTAAAGTAGAATAGATAAACCTAGTAACCAAGTATAAAAATTTAGTAACTACAATATAGATAGTAATAAATCTAGAAATTTTAGAATAAACCTAAGAATATAATGACAAATCTAAAAACCTTATAATTTCATATAACCTAACATTACACCTACAGTACCTATTATTATACATTTCTGTGTTACTTCAAAATTTGCTATTCTTCCTAAAAACAATTAAATTAAGATCGAATTGCAATGATAAAATGAAATGACGATTATTATAATATTTAATCATTTCGGTTAAAGAATTTACACAATAAACCTCCGAAAATAAATTTTCCTCCATCATTAAAAATTCTTCCGAATTAATCACCTTGCAAGTTCCACGACGGATCCAGTAACAAACGTAGGAATGTAGTGATTTCTTATTCTACTGCAAAATTGATCCCGAAACGTCGCCAGACAGAAGAGCCAATTTACCACTCTACAAGCTTTCTCGATACCAGCGAAACGAACGTAGTAGGTTTCCTCGTATAAAGACAAAGTGAACGCGTTACACGACCTGTTGACAGGAGTTTACACTGTAGAATTTACCGCCCGATGAGGCGACACTCGACCAGAACGATTTTCTTAAACAGAGACGACGAGAGTCAGTCGAAAGAAGCAGTCTCATTTCGTCAACAACGCGAAAATGAAATTTGACGCGTACTAAAGATAAACGTGTTCCTACGAGTTAAAATTATCCCATAAGCAATTTTCCATACGTCAAGCACATTCGTGGGAAACCGTCCTTTAAATCGAGGAAACGGGCAGATTTCTCCCCATACTTCGACGCTTTTATTCCCTCTGCTCGGTCGGAAATTATACAAGGTATCATAGGGAGGTAATTCTACGTGAAAAACCGAGTCGAAAAGGTAGAACAAAATTTTTTCCTACAAAGCTTTGTTTCCGAGAAAATCGACCTTAAATATGTGCTGGAAATATCTGCGATCCCATTATACGTGCACGCACAGACATTTAACGTCGATTTCCATGAAAATGAAGGCTCGTATGAAAAAATATTGTTTTACATTTTCGACTCATTTTTGAATGTAGATTCGTTTACCTATTCGTAATATCGCCAGTTATGAGGTATCGCGCGTAAAAATCCATTACTTAAAACCGAAACATCTCTTACGGAGAGAGAAAAGATGAAAGGGTGAAATTACTCCCCAAAGGGTGTAGGTTAGCGTGTCTCAAAGGAGCTTCTCCGATAAATATTTCGCGGAAAATTCTCAAATTTCGCATCTCTTCTAAGAAAGAGAGAAGAATTTTTGAAAAATTCAAAGGGATCGTGTTTCTCTTTTATCGAGAGGGAATTATTCAGGATATAGTGGCCGACTGTAAATTCTGAAATGTGGCTGATGGCGATGGAGAAACAGTTTGAAAACATAAAAGAAGACCGTGCTGCTGCGTGTAATGGATCATTTTTAAAAGAAAAATATACGAATACGTGTAGGTGCTTTAAACGAAACTTTATAACATTGCGAATTCGAATTTCTTGCTTTCTTTTTGATTAAATGGAGATATTTGGGTATTGTATATTTTGTTGAGAAATTAAATATAACATTACGAATTCACATTTCTTGTTTCCTTTTCGATTAAATGAAAATAATTAGGTATAGTGTATTTTGTTGAGAAATTAAATATAGTATTGCGAATTCGCATTCTTTGCTTCCTTTTCGATTAAATAGAAATAATTGGGTATAGTGTATTTTATTGAGAAATTAAATATGACATTGCTAATTCACATTCCTTGCTTTCTTTTCGATTAAATGAAAATATATGGGTACAGTGTATTTTGTTGAGAAATTAAATATAGTATTGCGAATTCGCATTCTTTGCTCCCTTTTCGATTAAATGGAAATAATTGGGTACAGTGTATTTTGTTGAGAAATTAAATATGACATTGCTAATTCACATTCCTTGCTTTCTTTTCGATTAAATGAAAATATTTGGGTATAGTGTATTTTGTTGAGAAATTAAATAAAAGACGCGCGAAAAATTTGGCTAACTGCGGTAAACGAAAAGAATATAATCGTTTTCTGTACTCGAATATTATCTTAAAGTGCAGGCAAATGATGCAACTAATCAGTGTTTGCGAGCTGCGATTCGTGGTGGTCTTGTTATTAAAAAGGGATGATAAAAACGAAGGTAGAACAGTTTCAACTTTTTACAATTTCAAACAACCCTTTTGTAACTTCGCGCCGAGTTAACTATAACTTTAAACTTCACAAGCATTTTTATTTTAGAGCACGTACGAGAGGAAATTGCGTTGAGGTGTGAGGCTAGAACACGTTTGTATCAAATAAAAAAATCATGCAGCCGCAGAGTGTCATTTTGGAAATTTCAAATTTCACGCTATAAAATTAGAGAATACTGCAATGTTATTTTAATTGTATATTATTTCATTTCGATATTCCTCTATAGATTTTAAATTTTGTTTCAAGGTGTAGGAAATATTGCAATATTGTTTAATTATGTCACATTTTATATCGTATGAAATGAATATTTTATAAATTTTCAATTTTAGTATTTAATTATACGCAGTTCTTTCTATATGCGATGGAGGTTTTATATCGAATAGGTATGAAATGTCGAGATACTTAATTTTATACTTACTGTGAAATAATATTATATGGAACTTTATATTCGATAAAGCTACTTTTCAGAAATAAAAAATTTCAGGCTATAAAATAAAGGAATATAGTAACGTTATTTTACTGTATCCATTTTTTGACACACTTAATTTTATATCTATTATAAAATAATGTTACACTTAGTTCTATGTTTGATATGAAGTAATATGCTACTTAAATTTTATATGTAATTGTACTTGTGCATTTTAATTGTATTTTTGCATTTTGTTCAAGTTTGTATATAGTGAGAGACAATAATTTATTTAATCGTTTATTTAATGTAGAATAAATGTATATCCAATTTTACAACCAATGAAAGTATTTTCTCATTAATTTTAAATTTCTCACCAAGATATAACAGAATATTGTTCTTGTTTCTTGTTAATTTTGTACACTTACTAACGAAATTTGAGACACAAAATAACCATTCATGAATTTTTGAAATATATGTACTAAAATTAAAGATAAGATGAAGAGTTGTATATAAATGAATAAAAAGTAAATTTTTAAAAATATCTATTTCACACCAAGATATAACAGAATATTGCTCTTCCTTCTTGTTAATTCTATACACTTACTAACAAAATTTGAGACACAAAATAATCATTCATGAATTTTTGAAATATATGTATTAAAATTAAAGATAAGATGAAGAGTTGTATATAAATGAATAAAAAGTAAATTTTTAAAAATATCTATTTCACACCAAGATATAATAGAATATTTTTCTTGTTTCTTGTTAATTTTATACACTTACTAACGAAACTTAAAAAACAAAGTAACCGTTCATGAATTTTTGAAATATATATATTAAAATTAAAGATAAGATCAAGAGTTTTATAAAATGAATATATAAAAGAATAAAAAGTAAATTTTTAAAAATATCTATTTCACACCAAGATATAACAGAATATTGTTCTTGTTTCTTATTAATTTTATACACTTACTAACGAAACTTAAGAAATTAAGTAACCATTCATGAATTTTTGAAATATATGTATTAAAATTAAAGATAAAATGAAGAGTTGTATATAAATGAATAAAAAGTAAATTTTTAGAAATATCTGTTTTTAATTTTAATACATGTAAGTATATATACCGTAAAAGAATGTTAAATTTAATTTCTTATTTAACGCAAATTATGTAGAATAATATTGAGTCCAATTTTATAATCCCACGCAAAATCGCAAATTATCCTATCTCAACACTCTCCAATAAATCCCCCGAGCCATTACAAAAACATTTAAACAACCACGTTAATTATCCACGCGATAATTGCCCGATTCTCGTGTGTTTCTATGCGACGCGATCGCGCTGTAACTTACTCGTTATCTTAATAACGACAATCTGGCTTGTTGCAAACGCGTGCACATTGGAAAGGAATGGACCAGAAAACACGTGAAATTTTGTCGGCGCATTAACACCTAATTATCCGAGAGAACAAACTCGGAACGAACACATCGTTATTCCCATCAGCCAGCGAACTACTAATCCCACTTCATCCCCATTGGAACTTCCATTAAACAAACAACAAGTCGAACAACGGATACAAAACAATTCATTACCACCTACTCTCAAAAATCGAGAAACAGGACCTACCCCTAACTACCCCTGTATCTTCCTCAGTTTCACCGCAACGACGAGCTACGTGGCCACGAAATTCTCCCAAAATCCCAAAGTATCCTCGAACATGGCCAAAGAAAGACAGGACAACGTATCCCTGTTCCGCCGGGAGCAATCGATTGCCAATTTTCCTCGTCAAAATATCAAATCACCGGCCTAGACAACACGGGTCCCTGACTCGCAAAGGTTAACACCACCGGTGCTCGTAATTCGATCGAGGATAGCCCCGATAATGAAGAAGAAAAACAGAGAAGAAACATGCAGTCCAGACTCGTGAGGTACGGTACTCGGATCACGGAGAATCAATCTACCTACGTGCACACGAGCAACAACCTTCGTCGGTTGACCACGAGCAGGATTGTCAGTATCAGACGCGAGTACAAAGGCGAGGACTGTCGATGAAAACAAATGAAACGACGACAGTGCTAACGAAGCGTATCCCTATCTAGGGGAACGGATTCTCGTGGAAAGGATTTGGATGTGTAACGACGAAAGGGGATGGTCTAAAGTGCTAGCAGGCTGATAGATGAAGACGGTGTTCGGTGGATGAACAGGTACTCACGATATGTGAACAACCGAATGGGTTGATATTCTCCGTTTCCACTTCCGGCAGTCTGCTCCGTCGGAACGAACGCGACAATCCGGGACAGGCAGAACCTCGCCTGTGAGAGAAATTCTAGTGGAAAATGCGCAGCTGCGCCCGGCCAGGGGGTGGTGGCGCTGCCGCGCATGCGCACAGCCAGCCTGCCGGAAGTCCGTCACCGTTTGAATGTTTTCGACGAGGGACCAGTTTGGGTTCAAGGACGTTAGAGGACTCGTCGACCTTGAACTTCCCTTGCGACGTTCTTGCTACGTGTATCCGGTCTGATGGATTGTTTATAGGAGATCTTGCACTCCTGGTTTGGGAAACGTTTCTTGTCTGATTCGCGGAGTTTCAGGTTTTGAAAGGAAGAGTAGTATGATGAGGAGTATGATGAAGCGAGAGAAATGAGTTTGGAGTTTGTCAGTGTATTTGTTTATCGTTTGAGTGTATTTTATGGGTAAATTGGTTTGGATAATTTAGAGAGAACACGAGAAATATGAAGGGGAGTTGAGTTAGTATAGTTTAGTATACTGAGATTTAAACATTTTTTAATTTCTGTTAATTTTTGCAAATTTTGTTGCGTTATTATATATTGATTAATGGAATATTTATTATATTAGAAAAATTTGAGTTGTGTATAATATTACAATATTTACTGCTATTATAGAATTAAATATGGAGGGATTTTTACGTAAGAGCGAATAAATTGTTTTCGTTAATTACTATTAATTTATTTAAGAACTGAATTTTTATAATTGAATGTTTACTATGATACGTGTCATAGAAAATGAGAGAAAATGAAAGAAAATTTTCTGACAGTATTTTATTATTTTATTACAAAATATAAATATAGTAAATATAACGAGGAACATTTTTCTATATATTTATCCAGATCACTTATTTCTCATTAATGGAAGACGTTCTTTTGTATAATATAGAATTAAGAAATTACGCGTTTTCCTTTTAAAGGAAAAGGGATAATTTCTTGTATCATATCTATTGATTCGTTTGTTCGCGAAAATAGTACAAAATATTGGAATTACTATGAAATATCGGAATATTGGATTTTATTGCATAGTCGGCATAGCTGTCGAGGAAGCGATATCACCGGCATCTCCAGATCTCCATAACTGTGTTACCGTTTTCACTTGCGTGTGGAAATTTATACCCTGAAAAGATAACACTCGAAATATATTTGAAAAATTAATACAATGCAACAGAAATATTTGAACGCTTTAAAAATATAGAAACATAAAAATTTGAAAATTAGCGAAAATTAACAATTTTTTAATTTTTTAAATCATAAATTAAGGCATGAAAATATGAATAAATATGTATTACGAAAGATAATTGAAAAATTTAATTGCTAAAAATGTTTAATTTAAATAATCCACCTTAGCCCATTATAAATAAAATATTTTTATCTAAATTTTTAAATTTATATTCTTTTATAATTTTACTTCGTTATTTCTTTTATTTATTAGCAAATAAATAAATATGTATATAAATATAGAAATAGGACATAGATTTTCCGATATTTCGAATTTGTAATGTCACTTACATGTTTTCCATAGAAATGACTATCACCCAAGAAAGATCCCTTATTTCCAGTGAAACTGAACATCGGCAATGGCACTGGAATAGGAACGTTTATGCCAACTTGACCAGCCTCGATTCTATTCACAAATGCTCTTGCTGTTGCTCCGTTTGTAGTAAACACAGCTGTCCCATTTCCATAAGGACTTTCGTTAATAATATTAATAGCTTCGTCCAAAGTATTAGCAAAAATGCATGAAAGAACAGGTCCGAAGATTTCTTCCGTATAACATCGCATAGAAGTCTGAAACATGTTTCAAAATTATTTAATTTGAACTTAATTGGACTTAAATCTAATACAACAGAGCAAACAATAACAAATAAACATGATAAAAGTTGCAATAATTAATAAACAGATAGAACTTAATTATAAAATTATTAATATATGCTTTTCAAATAATTCCTAAATTTTTCTAAATAAAAATAATTTTATCTGAATTTTCATCCTGTTTTCATAATAAATTTATGAAATTGAAATTACATTTTGTAACATGGATTGATCATAACCCAACAAAAAGTTCTATTTACTTAAAATGGAAATTTTGAAACATGATTAACTAGAAGCTTGAAAAATCCTCAAGATCATAAATTGACATAATTATATGAAGTCATGCGAATTTCCATATTTCAAATTACACAAGCCAAACACTATTCTATCTCGAATATCAAAATCTAAAGAGAAACTTCTTAATAGAAATCTCATTTTCTCTTTACCTTCACCTACTGAAATCACATCAATCAATGTCAACCCTACATCAACATGCATACCCTGCAGCATCAGATAACTGTAATTCGCGTTTAATTAGATCACGAGAAGGCTATATTGCACACGAGTACCTTCACGTCCGTGAGTACAGTTGGCCCAACGAAATTTCCCCTCTCGAAGCCTCTGACGACGAGTCCTCTGCCATCTAGAGCCAACGTGGCGCCATCTTTCACTCCTGACTCGACCAATTCGCATATTCTCTTCTTCGACTGGGGCGATATGACTGGTCCGAGGTCAGTTCCAGCAACGTGTCCTGCGTTCACTTTCAGTTGCTTCGCTGCCTCTACTAACTCTGGCACCCAGTCCTTCGATTTTCCAACAAATATGGCTACTGACAGAGCCATGCACCTTTGGCCAGCTGCCCCAAAGGCAGCACCCACGATTTGGGACAGGGTCTTATTCTTATTCGCGTCTGGCAGGACAATGCAATGATTCTTTGCTCCCATGTTGCACTGCACACGTTTCCCATGGGCACTGCTCTGTTTGTATATGTATTTACCCTGTAAAATTGGAATTTTGTAAATTATAAATATAAATTTCAATTTGTATTAAGTATCTTTGTATAAATAAATGGTAATCTTGGATTGTGACTGAGAGTGTAAGCTACTTGAAAATCTGAAAATTTAGTGAAAGGAATGGGAGAGAAAATTAGCTATTGGTCTGGAAGAAAATAATTTGAGGAGATGGTAATGATGATCTACTATATATCTTTCCAAAATATATACACAGTATCACCAGATATGCAATTAATATCTAGCTATTATAGTCATTCCAATTATCAGTTATATAATTAGCACCACTCTCAAATCATATCTCCCATGAGTACCCAAGCTTGCCCTACTCCTAAGAAGCCATCTTATCCATTATATCTTGCATCTACCAAATCATAAAGAGATAACAAATTGTCCAATTATTTATTAATTACTTAAGATACCTGTCAAGATGCCTACAAAGAGTTTCACTGTTAACTTGTTAGCCTAATATCTCAATATAGCCACCACTTGCAAGGGAGTGAATGTACGTCTAAATTTTAACCAGACAGTTCATGAAATAATTTAGGTTTGCGGTGTCCACTTAACAGTGAAATGTGTTCCACAGATCTAGTCGATCTCTCAGCACAATAATTAAGGATCAAGTTACCTAGGCTCGTCCCCTAAATGTGGCAGACATGACGTCAGCATAACGTCAGCAGGTCTAAATGACAAGGGTAGTCACCCTAACTACAAAAAGGGGTGAATAATATAATCTGTGCTGCTCAGGAATGTACACTTGGGGTGGCACAGAGGCAAGGACATGACTACTAGGCCTGCATTCTCCCCAAAGATCATTTCCCCAGCTCTTCATAATATATCTATACACTTGCAGCCAGTAGCAAAAATTCATATAACCTGCTTTACAATTAGGATAAAGAAGTTATCACAACTAAACCTGTCATACTATGACCATGACCAATTATCATTTCCTCCACATGCATACTCCTGAGCTCTGTTCGATACATGAATCACGCAAACCCAATCAACCCGATCATCCAAACCTAACCTATACCTGATCCATAAACGCAAGCTTCCTACACAAAGTGGACGTTCCAATGAACTTGAATAAAACAGTCATCAATATGAACCCACCGCCTGATCAGAACCAACGAAGGAAACCGCTTTGATGTCCGGATGCTCGCAGATAAAATCCACAGAGGCGTGTTGACCATGGATGACGTTCAACAGCCCAGGTGGCGCACCGGCCTCGGTGAACAGGTCAGCGAGGATCATCGATGCTCCCGGCACACGTTCCGACGGTTTCAGGATCGTGGCATTTCCGCAAGCCACAGAGACAGGAAATGACCAAAGCGGAATCATCGCAGGGAAATTGAACGGACAGATGGAGGCGGTTACGCCGAGTGGAACTTTGTAGGAGATTATGTCCATATCCGTGGCGATGTTCGGCGTGCTCTCGCCCATTTGCAGGCAAGGAATTGCGGCACACGCGTCAACGACCTCTGTAACATAAATCAACAACGGGTGAATGATCCATAGCGTGTATACGTTTCTGGAGATTGCATTTAGGGGTGAAGCTGGAATGCGGTTAGGGTGGACCGTTGGATGCTCGTGCGTTTATTGATCGAGATTCGAATGTTCAGAATGAATTGCGTTGATATTTTGTAGATTAAGTGGTTAGTTATAATGATTTTTTAAATTTTCAAACTGGATTTCGTCGAATTTTATTTAACTAAAATTATGCCTTTATTATTAATCGAGATTCGAATGTTCAGAATGAATTCTATTGATATTTCGTTGAGTAAATGATCAGTCATAATGATCTTTGCAATTTTCAAACTGGATTTCGAAGAATTTTATTTAATTAGAATTATATCTTTATTATTAATCGAGACTCGAATGTTCAGAATGAATTGCGTTGATATTTTGTAGATTAGGTGGTTAGTCATAATGATTTTTTAAATTTTCAAACTGGATTTGGTCGAATTTTATTTAACTAAAATTATGCCTTTATTATTAATCGAGATTCGAATGTTCAGAATGAATTGCGTTGATATTTTGTAGATTAGGTGATTAGTCATAATGATTTTTGCAATTTTGAAACTGAATTTTGAAGAATTTCATTTAACTAAAATTATGTCTGTATTATTAATCGAGATTCGAATGTTTAAAATGAATTGTGTTGATATTTTGTAAATTATATGGTTAGTCATAATAATTTTTGCAATTTTCAAACTGGATTTCGCAGAATTTTGTTTAATTAAAAATATGTCTTTATATAATTAGTGTATTAAGTAAATAAAAAAAAGCAAGGAAAATTATTATTAAATGCGTTGACTATACTGTAAGTAATCTTGTTTTGCATTTTTATAAGGAATTTCTGAAACTATAGGTTGCACAAAGATCGTATTTATATTTTTGAATGATCTAGATACAACTTTATATTGGAAGCTTAAAAGGCCAAATCTATTTCAGTTAATCATATTCATACGCTCCTTTCTTTTCTCGTCGCGTCAATTACTGGGTCATATGATACTGGATCTTGGTGATCTGTATTTGGTTATATGGATATTCATTTATTAAAATGCATTGAAAATAAAAATCGAAATTTTTATAATAAAATTTTATCGTATTTCAGAATTAATTGTAACCAATTGAAAAGATTTTATTTTCATAAATAAATGATCCAAAAAAATGCGTTATTAAAAATGACAATGGTTGAGCCTCGTTTTTGTATGCATCAATAAATAAATTGGGTTAAACTAAAAATTAAAAATTAAAAATTTCAGTAAATTTAGAATAATATGAGAACTCGGAGTGAATAAGGAGTACCGTATTATTCTTGAATAATTTAATTCCTCAAATAGCTTTAAGTATCCATTAACTGATTAATAGAGCATTAATATATTTGCAGAAATCAATATGTAAGACTCCATTATTTGAAAGCGTTCTAAAAATATTAAAACCGCTAAATTTCATGTAGCTTAATTACTGTAATTAATTATTTTAATGCTTAATATTATATTTAAAAAAGGGGACTTACGAAGTCCTCGAAGAACATCGCCTTCAGCGTCAGCCATTGTTTTCCCGTTTTCCTTCACCATGTTCTGTGCGATTTCTTTCTGGAAAAAAATTTGTTTACATAGAAACTTCCTTAATAGACATTTTAATATAATTATTTTAAAACAGACTTTATATAAATAAAACAGGAATATTTTTTACGCGGATGTAAACAAATTAGCAACTGCACAAAAAGTAATTATAATAACTAATTTATCAATAAACTTAAACCTCTATTAACATCAATAATTTTTAACTCGCGTATAATTAGTATTATCACTTTCGTTAAAATATGAAGAAAATAAACAATCAATTATTTACAAAGTATAAAATAAATAGAAATTTATTACACGAATATTTATACATAAGCAAATAAATAATTTCTCGAAAAAGATATTCATAAATATTTTCTTTAATACTACCATTAATTTTACATTAATTAATTAATACACATATATCCATAATTTGCTATTTCTGTTATTACTATAAATAATAAATAATACATAATTTACTACTTTTATTGCAGAATAATATACAGCCAATTAATTACGATCGAATAATTAAAATAAATCTTCTCATTGGCTTTGCCCAAAATTTGCAATAAAGTAATTATAAAAAATTATAAAAAATAATCCTAAAAAGAGATTCGTAGTATAAGAATTGATATACTGCTTGAGAATACAGTTCTGGCTTTGATAAACTCACCGAATGTTCCCGTATAAGAGCTTGATACTTGAGCATCAGTGTTTGTCTAGTGAGTACACTTGTATTCCTCCATTTTTCATACGCTTTCTTCGCGCTCCTCACGGCCGTCTCCATTTCTTCTCTTGTACATTTTGGCGTGCGACATAACAGCTCGTTTGTTGCTGGATCATGGACGTCGGTGAATTCTGTGGCCTTTGATTCTGAAACAGATTTAAACCTTTCTGTGAATGGGTTGAGAAACACGATATTTTTTAAAATTTTATTGCGATATGAAAGAACAAATTTAAAAAATAAATTGAGCAATGAATGTTTGAGATACGTTGAAAGAAAGTATACTGTTTTCAAAATAAATAAATAAAAATTGTACAATTTCGTGACAATATTTTGGTTACTAAAACTGAATTAAAGATGCACGAGTACTTTTCCTATCGTGAATCCTTTTTTCATTTTTGTAATAATGCTTAATAAATATATAGTAACTTTAAATTTTATTATTAAGGGAAAACACGTGATAAGATACGTTTTTGCTTTTTACTGTAATTTTAAAATTGGATTTTAATGAGTTTTATTTTATCGATCTTAACATAGTTGTAATATATGTTTAAAGTGAGTGAAAGTACTTCTTTTAACAATTAAGTAATTTCATAATTAGAAAATGAATAGGAATGGAATTATTAAGTTTTTCTTCTACAATCTTGATCTGTAATTATTGATCCTGAATTTCAATATTTACAGTCTAATTTTATTCTAGTAGTTCTAAGTATAAAACAAGAGATGACGAATTATTTATGTGTATAAAAGTTCCATTACACTTTACAAACTATTACCATTATCATTATTACTTAAAAACTGTAATAAAAACATTGTAAAAATCCAGTTTCCATTATTATAAAACGGAAAAGGAAAAATATTATTTCAGTATCAAAATCCAATAATCATGGACGTCCAAATAAAAACGAAAATTAATTACCAAATTATTAAAATTATTAAATTAAAGAATTACTTAAAAACTGTAATAAAAACATTGTAAAAATCCAGTTTCCATTCTTATAAAACGGAAAAGGAAAAATATTATTTCAGTATCAAAATCCAATAATCATGGACGCCCAAATAAAAACGAAAATTAATTACCAAATTATTAAAATTATTAAATTAAAGTTAATTATTAAAATTTTTAAAACCAATATTTATAGATATAAAAATACAAAAAAATTTACTATTGAAGTATTAATATTTAACATCCATTAACATAAAAGTACAAAAAGAATCTTTCTTAAGCATATGTCCTAAAAGGGGTAGTAGAATCTCAAAATGCCTATTTAACGAAAATTTTCCCATGAGTATTTATTTTCGTCATAACATAATCGTTCCATTTAATATCAAAACGGTCTTTATGTAATCAGTGCTATTTATTTCCATTTAAAAAACGTTCCTCATTAAAGCAATTCTTTGGATTGAATTCGCTTCGAAATATAGCGCCTTTTCTGTACAGTTTCAATGGGTGCTCGAGCAGCACTCGTGGACCACGAGCTTCAATTAAATGCCTTTAAAAGCGCACTTTAAATATTCATAACCGTCTGTATCGTTCGAAAAATAGGCTCGAGAGTGCTCTAAAGACTGAGTATCTGTTCCACCAAGATTGCACGTTCCGTTCTCTATAATACCAGTCTTCGTGGCTTTATTTCTCCACGATCGAATCATAAATGAAATCATTCAATCGAGCAATATTTAATTTTTTCCATAGATTAAAGTGGACTATATTATTTCAAATTCGACTACTTTAATTCGAGCAAATTGAACCTCGATTAAAATTTATGACACGATACATGACATAATTTTATGAATCCATAAATAATTATACGAGCTGCTAATAATAATTTGATTTACGAAATAGTCGATCTAGAATTGAAATTATTTTGATAAAAAATTGTAATCTATAATTGACAGAATTATTAATAGAAAAATTTAAAAATATTGAATCTATTTATTGTACCTAATTTATTTTTTCGAAGTGCATTAAAAAAATATACAGTTGGAATATACGATATATTGCTTTATTTATAACATTGCAAAATTAAAACTGAAATTATTCAAATTTTATTAAATTAAGATAAATTGTTTCAATAATTATTAAATAAAAAAATTAGTTAATGAGAAGTATACATCTTTATTATTATAAATTGTTTAATGAAAAATATAAATATATAAGACACAGTATGTTCCATAATTTATAAATATATTACGAAATTTAAATTATCATCTAAACTACAATAACAAGCATTTTATTAAATAATATAAAAATACTTCTACTACTATAAATTATTTAATAGACAATATAAAAGTAAATTACATAATATATTTTTTTATTTATAATGTAATTACAGACTTATAACGAGGTTTTAATTAAATTTAATTAAACTACAACAAATATTTAATACAATTTTTAAAACTATTTTATTAAAAATAATAAATCTAATTATCTTCTTTCATATAATTATTTCTTTTTACATTTTCGATTCATTTTGCATTTTTGATAATTCTTGCTTTCAAACGACGAATGACATCGAAATATAGTGTTTACAAAAATTTGTACGAAAATGTTTAATACAATAAAATAATTACCTACGAATTGGCCATCAATGTACATCTTAACCGTTGGTACGCTACTGCTGTAAGTCCTTGCGGCAAAATGCGCCTAAAATACCATTCAATTAATGTCAGAATCAATTCTTGGTCGAATGACAAATAAAAATAACAAAATCCACGATATCCAACTACGAAATCCATCATTTCTACAATCACGTTTATAAAATTCAAAAAAATTTCGCGACTGAATTAAAGTGTCAGAATAAACAATTGAAATCAGCCGAATAAATTTTGCTTTGTAAAACAGTCAAATCCATGACCTCTGTTTATCACGTCATTTACAATTACAATTATTTAAAATCTTAACGAGGCGATATGCATAGTATAACAATCGAATAATAAAACAGGATAAAATAACTTAACAAATATCAATAACAAATCCAGTTAAATATTGATAGCCAAAAGAGCTAGCAATTTACACAGATATAACAAAAACAAAAAGCAAAAGTAACTGAACTTTTGAATCACAAATATAAAAATACAATAAATATATCTATACATATCTTTTATAAATTAAAACTTTTAAGAATATGATAAAAATATTAAATGGAAACTATAGAGGATAATGATGCTCAGAAGATAGTCATGAGCCAAAAAATTTGGAAAATCCTGTATTAGAATAAAGTTTAAATTTTAAGTTTCAATTTCAAAAAGTTTTTTAATTTTGTAATGAAATAAAAAACCCTAAAAAAATATATGGGAGTATTTTCATGGTAAACAATAGTGGGTATGACGTGCAAATGCTTTTTGAACTGACTGTACCCCCTACTCTCGAACGATTAGGTCTTCAACGAGCAAATCAGCGTTAATCTATCGTGAGATGATCCGGAACCTATGGTCAATAGCCCGATTCCATTTCCAGGAAATCATGTAAATGGATCACTTTCACGGAGAATCGAGTGTTTACTTGAAGAAGCTTAACAGTAGAACTATCAAACCAGTCAAAACGATTGGTTTCAATTTTTTTGCTTTTTGCACATACTCTTTTTATTATAGCAAACTTAATATCGACTTATTATAAGTATAATTACCCCCCTATTTATTTTCATTATGGTTTAATTCCCACGTATACATTGTCATATTGAATTAACCAAAAAATAATATCTCTATTGTAGGACACCATTTCGGAAAGAAATCGCGAATCGGCCATTGTCAACAAAAACAAATTATAAACCGATCAATATTTTCTAGAAGCAAATGGAAAAGTTATTTTGGATAACAAAATTAAGTTAAACTTGAAACATTTGTCTGAGCATTTTTGTACAAACTGTTTAAAGAAATGTAACACTAGAAGTATGAAAAAGGTCGAAATCATTTGTATGAGACATTTTATTGGAAATAGCAATTAGAATTTCATTATCGGTAATAGAATTATTATTATATATGTAGGATACCATTTCGAAAGAAATCGCGAATCGGCCATTGTCAACAAAAACAAATTATAAACCGATCAATATTTTCTAGAAGCAAATGGAAAAGTTATTTTGGGTAACAAAATTAAGTTGCGTGGTCCCTACGGGGAGGTGAAGCGTAGGTTAAGAAAAGCATAAAAGCAAATGGTCCTTGACGACCAAAACAGAGTCCTTAGAAATCAATTGTGACAAGCACGAGCGTGAGTCGCTTGATGTTGGAAAGAAAGTTAAATTAGAATGCGTCTTTGTGTGCTTTCGTTTCGTTATCTTGCTTTTCTTTTCCTAAGTTAAATTAGTTTTATGAGTTTCCAGTCTGTGTTATTCTGTTCTTGTTGTTTCGTCAATTTTTGGTGTCTCGAAACCAGTTTTCGTCATCCTACACTATTTTTTCTTTTTAATAATTCATTGATCATTTTCATTTGAAATATCTTAAATCCTGTAAACCACTCCATATTTCCAATTAACGTGTGATCGTATTTAACAAGTAATAAGATATTGCTTTATGTCGAAGAACAAAGCAGCGCCATCTAGTGCATCCGATTTTATAATATTATTATTGTTATTATAACACTAAATCTATAACGATCAGTCAAATAACCTGTGGATGAAAAAATGGAAGAAAAAAAACCTAACAAAAGAAACGACATAAAAAGGGAGATTGAAAAATTAATTGCATGTATATTGGAAGAAAAATTATGGCACCAAGTGACCAAAACAATGACATCGAATGCAATTTTTGAAAATTTGAAAATTTTTAATAGAATTTTGAGAATGATTATTTTGGGACATGATAGATTTAGTGTTAAATCGTAAGTAAGAATAAATTCATCCTATAAAGCAGATATCCAAGTCAGCAAGATCACGATGCATAGCCTACTCCAGAGGGAGCAATTATTTGCTCAACGCACGAGAAGTGTTGCTTTGACACGACACTCTTCTCATAAGCGAATCGATTCAACTCGGGTTTCTTGTTACGTAAACCATGCAAGCTCTATTAGGTCAGATTGGTAATGACATTCCTCTTTGCGAGCGTTATTGGCCCTGGCAATTCCGGTGTCGTGAACCAAGTCAATTGGAACAAAGACGTGTAATCTCCTTGGAAAATTTCGATTCCGAATATAAAATTTTCCAAAGAATTTTGGTTAACATACTCAGAAGGAAGGGAATTAGAGATTCTTGTGCGAAGTTGCTCGAATTCGTGAATATAGAGATTAGAAAGTCGATGAGAGAAATGGGCGTGAGAATGAGGGATAGAGCCAGCTAATTAAAATTGAGGTTAGGTCTTCAGAACTGCAAAACGAAATATTTGTCTCGAGTAATTAAAATTATTGGACAAAGGATGCAAAATAATTCGAAGCTTTGAGAATTTTTAATAGATCTTTTTAAAGGATTTTGAAAATCGTTATATTGAAAGATAGAAATAGGAAGAAGAGAAGTGAATAGAGATGGAGGAAGTGCATGTGTGTTAGTTGATGAAGAAATAGATATATTAGATTGACTAAAAAGTAATATTGATATTTTTAGTATAAAAAGTAATCATTTTTGTTTAAACAACAAAATTTATTGAATTTTGATCTATAATACTTTTGCCATCTTAAAGATAGTTGTTAATATTGTAATTACCTTGCTATTATATTTAATACGTTAAGAACACTGATTTATAAAGATTTATAGTGAAAAATAAGAGATCACTATCTAAATCCGTTTATTATAAATTATAACAAATAATAGATGAAACAAAATTATGTTTAAAAAAGCTTTCGAATTTCTTGATTGACCATAGGATCAATAGAGGGATCACTGATTGATAATCAAAAATAATAATGAAAGTGAAAGGATGGACGTGATTATTATGCTAATTAGAAGAATTTAAATTACAATACTATGAATAATGGAAAGAAATAATGAAAGATAAAGAAACTAAACGTTATCAAGGAATTAGATGTAAACAAAGTTTACAATCTTCAGTTTTAATGAAAATATTGATAATAGATTGATAATTTGGGAATGGATTGCAAAATTTAGGAACAATTATTTTTAAGAAAATTGTATCTGTACAATATTTGTGACAATCAAATTACTCCTTCATTAAATTACTAATAATTAAATATGACATATATGTAAAAAGAGAAAACATAAAAATAATAATAATTAAATAATAAATTCCATTTCGTAATAATGTAATATCATATTAATTTTATATAATAAAAACATAATTGAATTTTAATTAATATCGAAAACGATGCTGATATTAAAATAAAAAATTCCTATTTTATATAACGTCTCATGTAAACAGGTGTTGGTAACATTTAATGATGAGTCAATATACCGATAACGTTTACGATGAACGAATACTAATGAAATGAATAGTAACGTAATGTAACCAACGGTTGGAAAAATAATGGAAAGTGACGTGAAATAAATTGCCGAAATTCACAATAGAAATAAATGTGCTAATATGAATTATAGCACTATTACTATTCAAGTGATGTAATGAAAATTTACTACGATAATATTTTGGTGGCCTGTTTTACTGCGAGAGAAATATTCCATGATTAATCGAAGTCTTACATCTGAGCAAACAATCTACGATATTACATTATTTTCTTGGATCACATACATTGAAATTTGGTAAACACGTTAATTATTTGAGTAGTTAATAGTTATTTATTATAGTTATTTATTATAATTATAAATGCATAATAACAATGTTCCTAGTATTTATAAATAACGTATTATATTAATAAGAATAGTATTTATAATTATAAAATAGGAAAAGACTTTCAAAATAAAGTAAATAACATTTCAAATGGATAAGAATAAAATAATAATAAACAAGTCGAAACTGTTCGAAAATATAATTAAAACAAAATTATATAGAATGAAATATTCAAATTATAATTTTCCATTTCAAATTTAATTATTTATTCAAAAATAAAATTTTACTAAAGTGGTGCAAGAATTTTTAGTTAACTAAAATAACACTAAATATTTCAGAAAAGTATAAACATATTATTTTATAAAAAATGTTCTAACAATCATATGATAAATGGAAACTCATATTGTCCAATAACTTTCACTCTATTTAAATTGAATCATCGTAAAAAATTTGAAAACTATTACAATAAAATTGAAGAATGAAATTTCAATTTGAATCTCCCGCCCAGAAATTGTTCGAAACATCAAGTTATCTTGAATACTTCATTCCTAACCTTAATCCAAAGAAATTATCTAAGCCGGTAAAGCTGCCATAAAGCAATTAAATTTCTTAAAATACCTATTAAAACTACACATACACCTGTCATCTATAATACACTAGAATTAATTCATCACTCAACTACAAAATACATGTTATACAATGAATTTAATAAAATTTAAAAATTAAATACACACATCACAATTCTATTTATTCTATCGATTTTTAGCATAAAGTAAAAAATTAAAGTACTCATTTAACTATATTTGTGAGATCGACAATTGAGACATAATAATCGAATTACTTTTTACTGACGTATTTAAAAAACAATTGTTACAAGAATCGAACATGAACTTCTAAAATCTCCAACATACCTCGCACTTCACGATTCTCGCGAGGAGCGCCATAGTAGTGGAACACGTTCCTGGCTGTCTGTACTAGAACTGGCTGATTCACTGAAAAAATGGCCTTGCCTACGGTTGTACGAACGACCATACGTTTTCATCGAGGATAATCGCGTCTGTTTACGATTTCTTGGCCCAATGTTTTCAGGACTGCCCTCACATGCACTCGCTCGGCAATGTCCGAAGGATTGACGAAAATAGCCGAACGAAACCATAAGGACTGTTATCGATTAGAAGTTTACTGCACTGGTTAGTTGATAAAATAATGAACAATGTATTGTATATGTATATTTATACACTTGATATATGATCAAAATAATACGACAAAAGTATTATGGTTTTGAATAACAATTTTAATTTCGTATAAAAAAGTGTAGGGATTTTAGAAGAAAACGAATATTGAAATGGCGCTAAATTTAAAAAATTGATACTCTTGTTAATTTTTCTCAAGTTTTCTATTGAGACAACCGTGATAACGATGAGTCGATAAGGAAGAAAATTTTAAACAAAGGTATCAGTAGCTGGAAATATTTGATGATGTACCATTCGAGAAGGTAAGATGTCGCCACCTGATAGTAATACTTTGCAAAATAATTTATATTTCGTTACTTTCTAATTAAATATTAATATTCCAATTATTATTAAATTCAAATAAACTTTTATTGTAAAAATATTACTTTATATTAATGGTCCCAATGCTTTAAGTTCATTACAATGTTTATGGATCTCAATGTCGTATTATACGGAAAATTTTTTAATTTTAATTGTCGTATTTAAGAGACTAATATTTCGAATCTTCTCAAAATGTCATAAGAAATTGCAAATTATATCATTTTCGTATGGAATATACAAGTAATATATTATATATATAAATATTAATAAATAATATATATAATATTAATAAATATTAATAAAAATTTCTATTAAAATTCACTTCACTTTTATTGTCAACAGCTATCAATTTACATTAACCTATTAATATACATTTGCTAATAGTATTACTAAATTCTGCCAATAATATTTTACCAATAACACTAGAAAATACTATCAGTAGTACTTTACCAACAGTACTACTATCATTTCCAAATAACATTAACCCTAATTCCAACTTCCACAAACACAACTGCTAGTTAATTAACTTTTTACTTCAGTCGTTTACTTTCATCGAGCTTGCCACAAAATTAACCAACATCGGAATTATCGATATTGAACACGACATTATTAGCCGGTTTAACTGATTCGCGATCGATTGCCGCAAGTATAAAGGCATCTGGTCTATGAAGAAAAAAGGTATGAGGAACAGGGGAAAGCAAGAATGTTGGTAATCGTTAGGTGGCCCGAGGCATGCGTAACAACTAACCGCGCGATTACACGGAAGTTGATTGGCAAACAATCGTTAGAACTGATCGACAGGCTGTGGTATCGGTATTAAAGTCTCGTTCGTCGGTACGTTTTATATGTGCAGCCTTTAGCGCTCCGAGCGCCGTCTATCGATACACTGTCGTGATTATGTATGGCGAAGAAAGTGAAACGCGATGGAAATTCAGCCTAATAAGGTGAACAAAACGTGTGCCACATTACTCATTAGAGATAACCATCGGCATGGCGCTAGAAAACGATATTAGAAACGATATTAAAAATATGGCGATTGACGGGGGACTTGGATGAACCGTATGAGAAAATTTTATTACATCTTCGCGTGTATACCGGGTGTCTCGAGCAAGTGGGCCGGGATGCGTCTTTGGGACGATTAGACACGATGGAAAGAAGAGTACTGAGATGAAATCAAAAATATCCTACGATTTTATGCATTCCGGAAAATAAACCTTTTTTTTTCAAAACTGGAAAACTGGAAACAAAAATTATTTTTTACTTACTGTTGTTGAAAATAATTTTGGTGCATTAATAGATGAATATTGTGTAGTAATTTCTTTCTTCTTTTCTCCTTGAAATCAAAGTTGATATTTTCAAAGCTACTATAATTGGAAATTTTCTACAATAATTTGATACATTGCTAGCTTTTATGGGATATTTATGTTATGATAAATAGAATATTATGAGATATATATATTTGTTTTTTCTTATCTAATTTTTGTGGAATTAGAAGTTTAAAAATAAGCATTAGTAGTATGAAAATTACTATAATTTGTAATTTTCAAAATTATTTTGTTATGGAATATTTATGCTTTAACAAATATTCGAATAAGGTAATTAGTTAAACTTGTACTAATACACTTTTACGTAATATAAAAAAATACGAAGAAAATACGTTTTTTCCATCTGTAAATACAATATTTTAGAGACATGACTTGACCCAGTTGCGTTAGGCTCCCAGTATGTAAATTTAATGAAAACTAGAAGATACTTTCTTAAGATAATACTATACTTATTAAGAAAATGCATTTAAAATTTCTGCAATGTATTGGAGGTTAGAAAGTGCATAAATGTTTGAAAACAATTACAAGTTTACGAGTTTCTACCAAAACTTTTGACAACATTGTTTTATTTGTATGAGCCAATAAAAACAAATAATCCTAGTTCCTTTTTTTTACTAGTACATAACACGTTACAAGTCATTAGTCACTATGTCACTAAACATTGTTACTAGGCAGAAATGTATAACCAATTAAGGAACATTAAAATACTGTAATATAGCATATTTATAGAAACATTTTAATCAAATTGGAAAAAATTTTCAAAATTATTATTTTACAAATAATCCTAGTTTCTTTTTTTCACTAGTACATAATACATCACAAGTTATTAGTCACTATGTCACTAAACATTGTTAGTAGGCAGATATGTATAACCAATTAAGGAACATTAAAATATTGTAATAGCATATTTATAGAAACATTTTAAGCAAATTAGAAAAAATTAACGAAATTATTATTTTACTATCTGCTAGTACCAAGCTCTACTAGTAACCAATTAACCTAAAACGAAGGAAACGCTAATTGTACAGTGTGTATCTAAAAGGAATTGCTCCATTTTATTTGCAAAAGAAGTAAACTAATTGCAATTAAAACTATCTTGCTACATATATTATTAACGATCAGATCATAATTATTTTTTAACTCTCCATTAAGGAAGCTCATTAAAACCATATTTACAAGATGTATAAAATCTGTTTTATCGAACGAAAAACCTGCTGTGCCTTAATTAAACTTGATTTTAGCCTCGATTTCGTATGTGATCTTTGAATAAATAAGAACGAAAAATCAGAACGATTGTGCGTGTCACATAAACAACTTGTAATTTACAACAATCGGCGAATGAGGGTTAGGTTGAAAATCGACGAACAAACGTTACGGCGTGCTCGCAATGAAAATGAATATGCTGTGGGAAAACGATATTAGAAAACGAGTTTGAGTTGGTGAAAGCAATACGGAGCGGAACAAGTATCGTTAGCGAAAATTTCATTCAAATAGTTTCACAATATCTCTGCGATACTGCGTACTATAGTACGTGCTTGGGACAATTAAATACCGGGGATTTAATAGGGTTTAGTGATTTTGCGAAATGTTTGTGAATTTCATTTTTGTGCCATTTACTCTGTGATATTATAATTTTTAATTTATTATTACTAAATTGACAATCGTTATTATTATATTTAATATAGTATCCTAAATTTTTAACTGTCGCACTATTACTTGTTATCATTTTTATTTATTTATTAATATCTTATTATTGTATTATTATCCATTATTAATCCAAAAAATTTATTAATATATCGTTATTGTGTTATTAACTATTATTATTCTTGAAAATTTATTAACACATTTCTATTATATTTATTTACATTTACTATTACATTATTATAATGTATCGTTACCATATAATTATTATGTTATAAATAGTTATTATTTTTTAAAATTTATTGTTATATGATTATTATTGTGTTGTTATTTATTGTCCTTTAATGAAATTAATCATTATAGTGTTACTCTATTATTAACCATTATTATTGATTAAAATTTACTATTACAATATCATTATTGCATCATTATTTTCATGTCATAAGAGTTATAAATTTAGATGTTTCCATTCATAGCTTTTAAAATTGACTATATAATTTTGTTCGAAAACTATATACTATTGTTGGAGATGAATTAATTTTATTTGACCCAATAGAAAATGAATGTAACCTAAATTCTAGATCAGCCATATTGTGCAATGGATGTACTATTATCAGGTACTATTATGATTATAGTTATTGGAATAAATATAGTCAGTTATATAATTGTTATATATATAACATAATTTAATGGCTAAGGTTGAGAGTGCATTTAAAGGCTATGGTTGAGAGTGCAAGTCAGTTATGTTTATGGAGAATTGGGTAAACCAAAAAGGTGAAATATCTAGGATATGAAAAGCTGTGTAAATCCAAAAACCTAAATGTGTATGGATTGATAAAATAAATTATATTATATATATAATTGTTATATAATATCCTATTATATTATATATCACTGATCTTACATATATATAAGATTAGTTATATAGTTATTAAAAAAGAAATATTCTTATAATAGAATAAAAATGTCATGAATTACTATGACACAAATTTACTACTTAATCCTCGCCATTTTTTAACGATTATATCGACGATCAAACTCGAATGTAAAACGAATTTAACTATCTTTAACAATTAATAATCAATAATTTACATTATGTAACTGGCCAATAAAATATTTCTATTCTCGTATTAATTTATTTACATATCTGATCGATGGTTATTAAAAGCGGTTAAATTCGGTTTGTGTGGGTGTGACAATCGAGCGAATGCAAGTTGGCGTGCTAATATGGTTACAAGGATACGATGATTGGAAAACGAAAACAGAATGATTTGAGAGTTCGAAGGGTGACAACAGCTATACATATTTAAGTTGGTGGAATAATTTATAATATTTTAGTACTGGTAGCATAAAACGTTTCATAATCGTTTCAAGCATCTCCATATTTATTCTCAAATGAATCATTATATTTTTCGTTCGATAAAAGAATTCGTTTACTGTGAATAGAAATGGAAACCAATTTAGTG